AAATCTTCTGATGCTTGCAATTTTGCAAACATGATGAATCATGTTTTCTTTCTCGATTCTAAAACTTCTCGGAAAGCGAGAAAACCACCAATCCACCACACACGTATAACCGTCCGGGAGGCAGAGTGCCAGCGCTAATCCGGCAAATGCAGCCGAAAACTATGAAAGCGAATGCACGCACAAAACAGAGAACGAACTTAACACACAACCGTATCCAAAGGCGTTCGAAACTCGACTCAGCAAAGTCTGGGATCAAATTGAAATCTAAATTTGATGTTGTGATTTGGCTGATAATGATTGCTCAGGTTGCTGTCGTTTTTGTCGTTTAACGGTTAAAATATCACAATTGAGAGCAAACAAATCTTCCTGTGACATCACATTGAAAACTATTTCTGCTATCAGTGAGATCAAACTGAAAACTTAATTTGATATCAATTTTTCCTATTGATAACAAAACAAGTATTCAATTTGATGTTATGCTAAGGCAATGAAAACAAACCCGCAACAACATATATTTGAAGAGCAAATGTACAGCAAAATGAAAACAAAATTTGGTATCAAATTTGTCAATTGCGTAAACTGAAATCAAATTATGATTTCAGTTTGATGTTAATATCAAAACTTGATTTAAATTTGCTGTCATTTTGATGCTGGACTTTGCTCGGGTCTTATACACATTTTCTCTCTATCTTTTATTATAAAAAAATAGTTTTCTGAAGTACAGTTACACCTTGCCAAAATGTACGCATTCATCAGAAAACAATTAAGTAAATCCATTTTCACTTTTAAACAACTGTGGGTCCATCCATTGAAAACTGTGGAATTGCTGAACAGTGTTGTACAGTGAACACTAATGGCGGTAAGCTCCAACTCGGATTAATTTTTAATACCGTCCCTGTTTGGGTGATCTATAAAATGTTTACTTAGAGTCGTGTTTATCAACTCTGATGGCTATATCAAAGCAGCCGTACATTCTTTAGCGGGGTTTAATTCGAGTATAAAACCGGATGGAGATTATCACCATAAGACTGTGAACCAATTGCTGAGTTAAATATTAAGCGTTTCACACCAAATTGGACTAAAAAGCGCGTTTTCACTTATTAAAAAGTGTGATAAAACTGCAAGTTTACGTCTAATCGTCTTGGTGTCTTCTTATTGATGCAAGCAATAAGTGCTCCGAAGACATCAAAACGATTTGACGGAAACGTGCACTTTTATCACACTTTTTGCATTTTTGGGACAGTCCAGTTTCAGATGCAATCAGCAATACCTATCATTCGTTGTTTAAAAGTTACATTTTGAAAGATATTTTCCATGTTCGAAAATCCCTGGGTTATCGATCGACCGGTTTTCGTTTCGAGCAGAATTTAGCCACGGTTGTCAAAATCTAACTTCTTGTCTGTCAGAAATAACTACGCTCGGTTAGCAGGGATAATCGATAACTTTTCATCTGTCAAATTAAAAAAAAATGTTTTTAAGGTTGTGAACCATTTGCCGAGTTAAATTTAACTCGTGGCTAAAAGTGACATTTCGAAAGTTATATTCTATGTTAGAAAATCCCTGTGCTATCGATCGACCGGTTTTTGAGAAGAACTTAGCCAAGGTTGTCAAAATTTAACTTCTTGTCTGTCAGAAGTAACCACGCTCGGATAGCAGGGTTAATCGATAACTTTCCATCTGTCAAATTTTAACTAAAAGTTAAAATAATCCACCAAATGGTTCAGAGCCTAAAACCGCCAAATGGTTCAGAGCCTAAGTTGAGAGCCAGCAAAACGATCGTAAACGAAGCGTAACAAATGCAATAATTTCACGGGGCGCCGAACTCTGGTCATTTTGCCAATATTTTGTAGTGTATTGTGATATTTTCAAAGTTTATATTTTTCCATACGTTAGTTAATACTGTTGTCCTAACTACATATTCAGCTCAATTCTCGCGTCACTTTTCAAATAGAACAATGTAACAAATGTAAACAAATCGAGTTAAGCGTTACAAACTATTGCTCTTCTATCATTGTATGTGATACAAAAACATCCATCCAAATTTACTTTCATTGATTTAAAATAATCATTGATCAAAAATTGTCCAATGTACAGTTTGAAATGATGGGTATATGATTGTTACTTCGGTCATTCGGACTGCTTAACATGATTGGTGCTCATTTTCCAAAGGCGGGGCCAATCTAAAGTTAGGTACTATACTCTGAAATCTGTGAAAGGGAATCTAGTATCATGTAGACAAAACGTCCAATGTAACACTGATTGGTTATGTCATTGAGAAAAATCGTCCAATATAACATGTCCGATGTACAACTCGACTTGTCAAAACGTCCTATGTGTTTTTTTTTCTATGTTGTAGCATGAAATTCAAATCAAAATTGTGATTTTACCGTATCTTCTGCATTTTCAACGTTAATCTACACGGACTACATTAAAAATAGTATAGCAAAATGTATTGTTTTTAAACAGTTAAAATAATAATCTGTCGAACTTCAACTTCGATTTTCTCAAAATGGTAGATATGTTACATTGGTCTATTTGAAAAGTGACGCGAGAATTAATAATATCCACATTGATCATTGAGGTTTATTGGCACATGACGATGAAGCTTATTGGTACATGAGGATGATTTTACACAACTGTCATAATTCATATTTTCATCTGTGTACGGTTGACTATTGAAGAAGATAAATTAATACAGCTTTTTTAAATTCTGTTTTACAGGCAGCTTACAAAAGTTTCGCAGTCCACTAGAGGTGTCGTAATCTTGTTGTGTGAATTACTAGTAGCTCGTCGCATTCTATCCGAAGCTCAGCGAATGCGGATGCTCAATGGACATTTTATATGGCTTTGGGCGGATACTACCACATCTACAGAGTTTTATGATCCCACACTATTTCCAATTGGGGTATTCGGTACGGATGCTGATGATGATATGACTGCGCAATTAAATAATCCGTTCCATTATGGTAAAACAGAACTTGAGGAAGATTTTTATGATTCTACGGATATTATTCAACATTCGCATATTGCTGATCTCGTAGAACGTAAAATGGACTTTGAGTATTTTGACCCTAAGCATAAGAAAAATCGTACCAAAGCCGAAAACATAAACCGGTCCCACCATGTTGTTGAGCTACAGAAGAACAGTTTCAGTTTTAAAAATCTTGTTGGCAGTAGTAAAAAAAGTGATACATTTAAACGCGATGTTAATAGTAAAGAGGATCTATATAATGAAAATGTTGAATTGCCTGTCGTTACCCACTACCCTAAAAGCGGAGACCTAGACCTAAAAGAACTCATGCGTACAAATAGTTTTGAAAGAAAAAAATATCTCAATCAATCTAATGGTGCTACTTATAGATTTACTATCGATTCACACGTTAGAGAACAAAACCAAATGAACAGTGTTCAAATGAACCGTAGTGACTTAGATAATTTATATGGTAATGAGGAAAATTTGGCGGATTTAAAGATAAAACGAGCCAATAGTTTCTTAAAGCATTACAACATATCGTCACATGTGTTGTTCCATCACTTTCAAGATTTTCCAGTGGGACTGCTGGCTCTACGACCGGTGACAATGAAAGTAGACCGCCATTTCTTGCGATCTACAGTACGATTATTTGCATCAACTTGGACCAAAGTGGAGCAAGATGGAGATGGTGGACGAAAATCTATGCGAAACCCAGACAGACAACAATCATCGAGTAAAGCAAATCAGCGGAACAATAAATCTCAAAAGTACAAGCGTTCTGTCAAGAGCTCAAAGGATCAAATCGATATGTATAACAAATTTACAAATGCCGCTGAAAACAAAGTTAACAAAATTAGAATCACAAGAAGTAATGAAATTGACATCAACGAATCATACAACAATAACTACTCTACTGATTCAGAAAAGCTAGATGATAGTAGTAATAATACTCATCTGTCTTATGGAAACGAAGTACATGAAACGACCTACGAAAATTCAAGTGAAAGCAATACTAGAGATAAAAGTTCGAAATCAATTATTCCTCCAAAGCAAAAACGACAGCAAACTTGGTGGATAAATAGAGGACATAGTGATCAAATGCGAGGTAGAGCGAAAGGTGGTGCTCCACAGTACCGTAACGGGTGCTATGGGGCTGTAAATCGAGGTGAATTTAAGAAGGCTGAGTTATTCACAAGGTAAGATATTATCACAGTAGCCATATAAAATACATGTTTAGCATAAGGTAAGGTGTATTGGATTTGCAAAAATACTAAAAACAAACATACGCACACAAGCACACACACACACACACACACACACACACACACACACACACACACACACACACACACACACACACACACACACACACACACACACACACACACACACACACACGCACACACGCACACTCACACACACACTCACACACACACACACACACAGACACACACACACAGACACACACACGCACAGACACACACACATACACACACACACACACACACACACACACACACACACACAGACACACACACACAGACACACACACACAGACACACACACGCACAGACACACACATACACACACACACACACACACACACACACACACACACACACACACACACACACACACACACACACACACACACACATACATACATACACACACACGCACACGCACACACACACACACCACACACACATACACACACACACACACACACACACACACACACACACACACACACACACTCACACACACACACACACAACAAACAATAAACGGGGTAGGGATACATCAGGAGAGGAGGAGATGCCACAAAAAAAAGGATGACCAAGAAGGCAACAACGATCAAGAGAAAAGACAATTTGGTGAAGGCAGTGAATGACGTATAGGGGAAACGCTCCTATAGTTGCGGTACGTTAGAAGCATTAGGTTCCTATAGTTGTGCATGGAGACTCAATACACAACTATAGGAACCTAACGCTTCTAACGTACCGCAACTATAGAAGCGTTTACCCTAGTCCAAACAAACACTGAGAAGAAGAGATAAAAAAGAATAAAAAAGAGAAAGAGCAGAAAGAGAGGATGAAGGAGGGGTACAAGGGTGACGCTCTGATTGTCGAGGATGAAACGACGTACCCAGCACTCCTTTGGAAAGTGTGGTAATATAAAACTGAAGGAATTCGGGGAGAACGTAATGAAATTTAGGTGCATCATTTATTATTTTCTATATATTGTGCTTCCAAACCCAACCGGGAGTGTATTAGTATAGAGGTAACTCTAAGACCAGAAGGTCCCGAAGAAACGAGCTCAACTTTTTGGCTCAGCTCTGGTACTCTCTTCGGTCCCAAGCTTATCGATTCACCCCTCGAAACATAGAAAAATCCACTAACCCCTCATTGTATCTGTCAAACTTTTATAGCGAATCAAAATAAACATTGTATAGTACTAGAATTTCGACTAGAATGGGATACTTTAATCGTTTGCTTGGGACCAATAGGCTAGTCAAGTAGTGAGCCAATTTAAAATCGTTAGTTTCGTATTGATTGTTAGTATTAGCACAAACGAAGTGACAGACGACTAACTGGGAAGAAATCCATTAAGAATTTTCTTGGAAGCTTGTGCTATCATCTACCAGATGGGTTAGTTTTTTGTTTTGATTTGAACAAAGTTGATTTTGTGTACAATGATTCTTTGACAGTGTGCAAAGAGTGTATCATTTTGTCATTTTTTTATGCATTTCAGTTTTGAGTAGAGTGAAAGAGATAGAACCAAAACATTCTAATACATTTGGTGAAAATGCTAGTACAATCCAGTAGTAGTGTTGCCATGTGGTACACTGAAAAATTGAAATAGCAGTTTAGTCACCAAAGTTTTCGAGCCACTCCGTCTGTCACTTCGTTTGTGGTATTAGTGAGAATGAGGATTAGACTGGCCCATATTTATATGGGGGAAATTTTTTATCATATTTTCAATGGGCCAACCCCTAGATTTGTGCCATTATGTGAGAAAACCACTCACTGAAAATTTCAGCTCATTAGGATGTAACACGAGCTGGCGCTTTTGATTTCAAATTTGTATGGAGATATTGGTTGAAATGTATTTTAGAGAAATAACATTACTTTACTCTTTCGTGCATAGAACAGATTCAGCAAACTCGATTCATCTCAGAATTTCAGCGTAGTTTAAACTATAAGGAACAACTTTACTGAAGACAGCATCACGATTCATGTTAGTATTATGAAGATATTAATTAATTAAGTGCATTCTGCTCGTATATTGCAACAAAGTACAGGCAGCTTATGCAACGTATGAACTAGATTACCACTAAAAATAAAAGTTCATATTTTCCACAGCCCCACATCCAGGCTCGTGTCTTTTGGTGCGATAACCACTCTCTGAATGTTTCAGCTATTTTTGACGTTACACAGACTGGCTCTTTTGGTTTAATGTTCATATAGGAGATTTGGTTGAAATTTTCATATACAAAATGCTCATATACATTCAAAAGCGAATATCTCAATAAAAATTACTGGATTTATGATGCAATCGTCAGCAAAGTTGTTACTCATGAACTGAACTACAAGTTTTTAAAAAATTTGAATCAAATCGAGAATAAGGAAACTTTTTTATGGTCGATAGAGTGTAGGAGTGTCATTTTGTCATGTATTTTATCCAAATTCTCCATACAAAATTCAAACTAAAAGCGCCATCTTGTGTTACATCCGAATGAGCTGAAATTTTCACAGAGAGGTTTTCTCGCCTAATGCCACAAATCTAGGGGTTGGCCCGTGAAAAATAAGAACTTTTATGTTCGTGGGCCAGTTTGATGAGGATGGATGAAATTAATTATGTTAAAAAAAACAAACAGGTTGCCGACTGTACTCGAACCACGAACGTTGCTAAACATAAAGAAGCGCTTGTAGTACGATAAGGGACCATCCATAAATTACGTAGCTTTTTTTTACAGTTTTAGACCCCTCCCCCTTCGCTGCGTATTTTGCTATACCACCAGACAATCAGACATAACTGTTTCTCCTCAATCGTCGTACAAGCATTTAACGTTCATTTTTAAATATGATTAGTTACGTGAATCCCCCGTGCTTACTTTAACATTTCTATAGTTTCTGCACCGACAAAGTTTCTGTACATTCTATCGAACTTGTACGCAACATTGTTTGAGACTTGGCAAGCAAGCTTTTTTCCGCAAATAGCTCGCAAGGTGTCTCTAGTGCGTTTGGTTTGCGTTTAGAACTTTAACAGCAGTGGTAGAACTGTACGGTATATATTTTCGTGTAGTTTCAAGTTGGGATCAAAGCATACTTGCAGGCAAATAACCTAGGGTGAGTTTTCAGTTATACGCCTGGCATGTATGCATACATCCGTACTTTAAACTATGAGGATAACAAATTATGTGCTGCAGACAGTCTCGTACTCTACACGGTAACCGGAAAATACCCAATAATGAATACAAAGTAAGCATTTTCAAGGGAAACTGGGACTACCCATTAAATGAGTAAAATGTTACCCATTTATGAGTACTTACAACTACAAACATAAGTAGTAAGTATTTATTTTAGCGTTAGCGTTAGCGTTGTTATAATATACTTCGTAGATTGGATACTAGCGACACTCACGTCTCTTCTGAAATTCTCAGTTAGACTACTTTCAGGAATAATGCTGGGGAGTAAACATTGGTTCCAATCTAAATAAGAGTAACAGAAGCATGTCTGCCACGCCCATCTTTACCATAACTAGGGATATGGAAGGAAATGTTGATGTAGTACTTACTTAACGAGAGGCCACCGACTTAGCGACACCCTCATAAGTGCTACGGAGTTGGAGGGTTGGGTAGGGTGTTCGGTTAAGATTCACCTCAAGTTGGCGATGCAACCAAAAGTATTTATTGTTTTGTTGTTGTTTATTTAATCTTTCGATAGCAGGCTATCGAAAGAACGTATTCATTTTGTTTAGTCATCATGAATTTTTAGAGTCATGACGGAGAGCTTGGGATTAAACCCGTGATTTTCTGCTCAGTAAGCAAAAACGATTCCTCCAGGGTCATCGAGCATATCAGAACCATAACGCTTCGCGACAATACAAGACTACGTTTTCGCTTGATATGCAAATAGTTTCCGAGGTTAATGTTCAATATCAAATATACAAATGATGGTGGCGATTTATTGTGCTGTGGAAGAGCTTGGAGTTAAATCCATGATTTTCTGCTCAGTAAGCAAATCGATCCCTCCAGGGTCATCGAGCATCTCATAATCCACAGCGCTTCGCGTCAAAGTACAATTATATGGATGAACTATCTATTATTGAATAACTATTATTTACGATAATTACATGAAAGAAATAAAATATAAACTACAAACAAAACGTGACAACTAAAATCTCAAAAAGATATTCTCACAAATATATTTCACGCAACCAGGAATCTCAAAACAATTAGACGCTATAATGATACCCTGCACATGTTAGACACAAGAAGAGGCCAAAAAGCAAGCGTCCGACACACAAAACCCGCCAAATCCACTTGCAGTAACAATCAACGATTCTACGAATCGCGTGCGCTCACGAATCATAAAACCGCCGACTGCGACACTCTGACAGCGAAATTGACAGGCTATATGCGTCAAACACCCGCAACCCAATCTCCTCCCGCATCCAACAACACAAATCTCCATTACAACATCTAACGAATTCAAAACTCCGAAAATCACTCATCTATAGCTAGTGAGTGGAAGCAACCCTGAATGCAACCATTCTTCATGACACACTTTTTCTGACTATCTTTCTATTAGGCCTGTGGACATGCGTTAGCTTCGAAACTTCTAACCAAATTGGAAAAAAAATTTAGATCACAAAAAAAAAACCTGAAGAAAACACTTTCAAAGGTAATTACAAGTAAAATAAATATTGATTATTTTACGCAAAAACGAGCAAGTAATATTGAATCTCTTGTATCGTATGTTAATGCTAATTGACTGTTTCAAAAATAATATGCTTAAATAAAATAAAATATTAATAAAATTATATGGAAAATTTACTAGAAGATTACTTTATCGGTGAGAAGTTTCTAATAAGCTCTCCCAGTTCCTCTGTATACAGAACAAATCTGATACTATAATCAGGATTGCTCAGTCTGCATGAAGCAGCCGATTTCATCAAGGAAGTTCTATTA